CACCAGACACACGTCAGCAGCGTCTTACGTCAGCGGCGGCACTGAACGCGGATCCACAACAGAACCGGAAGACAATACAATGCTGAATAAAGTCGTAGTTTTTGTTATTTTTGGACCAAAATGTATTTTCGATGCTTCAACACACTCTAACTAACCCACTGATGTCACATGGACTACTTTGATGATGTCTTTATTTCCTTTGGGTGAACTAACCCTTTAATTTCAGAGGCATTTGACAAAATGATCATTAGGAATATTGGTCACTGGTATATCATGCACACTGAGATCAGTAATGTGCACAAGTATATATATTTTTTTTTTTTAATATAAAAAAAAGCAAAAAAGTTGCCAGTCAGCTCCAGCCTTTTTGACAACTTAAAAGAAAAATTGTATTGCCCCCAAAATATTTTGTTATATTAATATCTGAATGAACAATATATATATATATATATATATAAATATAAAAGAACAGAATCTTTGACTTTAAACAACAACAACAACAACAAAAAAAGTCCTACTGTGCCCTCTAAAAAAAAAGAGACTGCACATGCGCATTGGCTGGTCCGGTCTGAAAATACGTTTTTTTAACGCTATTTGATCATAAGAAACAACATTTATGAGACAGTTGTTGTCAGATTAAATTGATGATTTCAAATATGAAATGTGATCATAATTTGATGTATAAAATCAAGAATTTGATGTTTCCTCTTTCAAAGAGAGAGGAGCTGTACTTGAATGATTGAAACCGCTGTCCCAGAGGCTTTTAAAAGTGAAATGCCTTTTTGCAACTGTTCCTAACACTTTTTATTGCTTTAAATATTTAGGTGATCCAAAATTATGACAAAGAGGTGGATATCTACGCTCTGGGTCTCGTATACTTTGAGCTTCTCTGGAAACTTGGCTCGGTGACGGAAAGGGACAAGGTTTGATTTATTTCATTTTGATTCACCCTTTATATAATAATACAGTCCATGCAGTCATTTTCTGTCTGAACTTTAAGTATTCAAATTACTATAAATAATGACTTTTTTCTTTCTTTCTGACTTTTAGATTTGGCCTGATTTAAGAAATAGGAATTTCCCTCCGGAGTTATCCAAGAAATATAGCTTTGAAGTGAGTGTAATTTCATGATTGAAGATTCAGCATGTTTTTAATGTTGAAATTATCAATCAGTTTATCATTCAGTTATTTTGAATATGACCTTGGTATGATCACTTACTCAAAGATGAGCATTATCTAACATGCTATCTCGTTTTTCACGGGTGATGCTGATGAAATAGCACAAGCTCATAGAGCGAATGTTGAGCGCCAATCCTAAAGACAGACCAGACGCCACAGAGCTGATCAGAGAACTGGATCAATATATCAGTCCTGAAGACAGATAAAGACATCAAGACCTTCTGATGAGATCTCGTCTCCTCTTTATGCCTTTATAATAATAGCAGATGCTTATACTGTAACATTAAAGGTGAAGCATTTAGCAGATGCTTCTATAGAGAAACTTACAAAAAGTGCTTTAGATTCAGACTGATACAGATGGCAAGTGTCCAATTCAGTCTATAAAGCAACTACATTTTTAAAGGGGTCATAATGGTACATGCACTTTTACAAGTTGATTGTACTGAAATGTGTGTTGGCAGTGCCTGTACACAACCATCATATAATGATAAAAATCCATCCAGTGTTTTTGTTTTAATCTCCTTATATGTTTTCCCCTGCCTCAAATCAAGCCGTTCGACCGTGTGACGTCACACGCTCGGAAGCCCCTCCCACGATCGTTGATTCACAGCAACCGACAGCAACGTTTCAACACAGACCCGCCCTCGCTCGTGAGAGCTGTCAATCATAGTCTGCGCGGACCGGCGCGCTCATTGTTGATATGCTGGAGCACTGTCTATGAGCAGAATGGCGTCTAAGCGATTGTGGTGTTCTGTTCTTGGGTGTAATAACGAACACAGTCATTTTAATGTTCCCAAATCCGAACCGCTGAAGACGCAGTGGCTGAGTTTGTTTTCGAAGGGAATATTCCCCACGAGCAACGTCAATGCTCTCATGTTTGCCGAATCATTTCTCACCAGACTGCTTTATAGACGAGGGTCAGTATAAAGCTGGATTTGCTAAGAAGCTGCTCATGAAAAAAGGATCGGTAGCAGATATTCGTGTTCCTGCTGAACCTCTAGAACAACTGAAGTGAGTGTAACGTTTTATTAATATTTATATTAATCTTTGCAAATCGCTAGCTTCACGCTTCACAATGAATGCGGCTAAGGTTTACACTCAGGGTACATTACGGCATGTTTTCTATGTATGATGTTCTCAATATAATTCATAATCCCACGTTTATACTGAACAATGCGTTATGGTCAGGGCCGTCGCTAGTGGGGTGAAAGGTGGTGACAATTATAGGGGCCCCCGCTGCCCAGGGGGCCCCACAAAATCCAGCAGTTATACTATTTAGGCCCCTGTTGTATGAATAATTCTAATATTTATATTAGTTGTATGCCTGAGATTTAAATGAAAACCACAAAAACGTGGAATTTGGGTAAATATTTTTCCAAATATCTGCTTCTCTTACCTCCATAAAAATGGTTTAGTCCGACCTAAAGTATTTATTAATTATTCAGTCAGAGTCAGTGACAAACATCAGATGGACCCAATAAAATTGTAAGTCCCACCCCAGCTCGTGAACAGAACCAATCAGAGTTGAGGCGGCAGCCTGAAGTTAACGATGAACTTGGTGGAAGCGCAGGAGACTGACTGACTGAAAAATGTCGGGGAAAAGAAAACACAAATCAGGTACCAGAAATGCCAGGAAAAGACGGAGAGGGAGGCAAGGAGAGTGGTTGTATCCCAGTCGATCAAGACGTTCTTAAAGTTATTGTTATTTCGCTGGGAATTAGAAAACTTGTGTCTACAGTCTGCCGTGTACAGTCATTTTTTATTATCGGTGCGCGCCACAATCGACCGAATGATTACGTGGTCTAAATTCCTGTCTTTTTACACTATTGTAAATAGAGTTTAAAAAACGAGTCACGACGCATTACAATATGCATCTGACCTGCCGGCTGATGATATTTAAAACATCGAGAAAACACGAATACAACACACTGCACTTGGATGAATAAATGTATTCGCTTTATTTAATAATATTACCAGTTCCATATTATCTTTATTAAAAAATAAGGCAATAAATGGTTTTATTTTTTTAATTAGACTGCATTCTTGTCAATTTCTAAATGTTTACTTTTTGATTTATGAATTATAACAGACTGATGGGGGGAAAAAATATTACTTTTTAATAATTGGTTTTTATTATTATTTAACAATTTCTTGCTTTTTGTTAGTTTTTATTAGTTGTAATTTTTATATAAACATTTAACTTTTAAAATAAAGGTTTTACAACAACATCACCATCTTCTGTTATATGTGGGCCTCCATGTTCATCTATTGTACAGTATATGATATTGGTGGAGGGTGGTGGGGGCCCACATCAATATTTTTTCAGGGGGCCCCGAATCCTCTAGCTACGGCCCTGGTTATGGTTATTGTGTTACAAACGGTGTACGCACAGAACAGAGGGGCGGGGTGAGCAAAGCTCATTATCATTTAAAGTCATATACACTGAAACGGCGTGCTGAAAACAGAGCTGTTTTTGACCAGGTAAAATAAGTGTTTTCATACAATACTAATGAGAATTTTTAATTAAAGTATATTACAAACTTTTAATTTAGACCCTATAGAATCAAATTAGCTTGTACAAAAATGGCATTATATGACCCCTTTAAAAAATGAAACTTTTGTCATCATTTACTCATCCTCATGCTGTTTTTTAGCAGAATGTCGGTTCGTTTCCATACAACAAAGAGTGTGTTCCACAAAAGAAAGAAAAACTTGTGTTGAAAAATGACAAAATGTGCAATTTACATAGTCTAAAAACTCATTTCTGATCAATTTAATCTGTATGTTTACATGAAATATCTTGTAACAGTGGTTGACTGCCGATTCTGTCCGTTTCTTATTTGCATGAATTACATTTGGAACAGAAGTTGGATCTGTCAGATTTTGTTATTATGTCTGTATTGCATAATATTCTCGAGCTAAAATCATGGCGCTTTTAATCTCGTCTACAGGTTATGGAATCATATGTCATGTGGGAAAAAGTGGCACATTTGGAGCAATATTTTTTTTTTTTTCTCTTTTTACTGTTTGTGAATCTGATTTGATATTGTTGGCATGTTTCTGTGAAAATAAAAATCTTTAACAGTGCATAAATACTTAAATTGCCTGGCTCTCATTGTAAATAATAATCCTATTGACTGTGTAACGGTCAAAATAAATGCCTACTCACTCATATGTGTCAAGATAAAATGTCAAAATTAGCTTGACAGCTGATCAAAAATATGATCAGATTATTCCAAAATGTGTCAGCTAAAGTTTTAACATACCTGTAGATTTCTGGATACTATCGTACCATATGGTACTGAGAAAAGTGGTGACGACGGATGCATCTCTCACAGGCTGTGAAATAAAATAAAATATTTTATGAAACCTAATGTAAAAAAGAGAAATGTTTCGATTTTATATATTTTAACATGCTGCAACACGTATTTTGAATTACTATGCCTGGTAATTTATTCTATATCTACGTAATATTATATACATTTATATATCTGTACTTTAAAAGAATGTTATTTTTCAGGTAGGTGTGGCCTATCAACATGCGTGGCTTTCGATTGGTCAATCCACTGTGTAGCGATGACGTTGAATTCCGGAAATCGAAACTTAATCGAACTGAATGATGATGATATGTAGAAATGAAAGTATTAATTATTGTGAGCTGTGAAGGATGTCAGTGTGAGCTGACACTATTAGTACCGTGTAAACCTGATATGAGATCACGGTAACGAGTGTTTTTGTGTTCGTCCGGTGAAGATATGACATTCACGAGCTGATCAAGGTAAACATTCAGTGAAGTTGTGTCGCTGTCTGCTTATGTAGTTATGGAGTCTCTGTCAAGAAATTATATTTCTCGGCTGAATGAGTACCAGCAGAAGGCTCAATGCACCGTGGAGTATGAGGAGGGATCCACTGAGGGACCGAGCCACAACAAAACGTATGGAAATATCATTCATTCAATCAAAATATACATACAGTTGAACTGAGTGAAGTCTGCCGAGGAACATTTTCTGTGCTGTTTGTGCAAATGATACAAAGTCAATGACTAACATTATTGTAACTGACAACTATAACTGTTTTGTGATCAAATATTGTTATCAGATTCACTATGAGGGCTATTGTAAATGGTCAGCGGTTTCCTGATGGCACTGGGAAATCCAAGAAGGAGGCCAGGCAAAGTGCTGCCAAGAACGCCCTTGATGGCCTCAGGAGCTCTCCCAATATTGAGTCTGTAAGTAAATATATGTTATATAAGTAACACTCACACACACGTTAGGGTTTCATGTTTAATGTGCACTTTCCATAGATCTGATTTTTAGCAGTACTGTCCTAAACCTAATCATTCAGTATGATTTCTGTTTTCTTTCGGTCAAAAGTTTGGTTAAAAGTAAAAAAAAATTTTTTTGTTAAAGTAGTCTCTTAATCTCACAAAGGCTGCATTGATTTGATCCAAAATACAGTAAAAATGTAAAATATTATTACATTTTAACATAACTGTTTTCTATGTGAATATATAGTAAAGTGTAATTTATTCCTGTGATCAAAGCTGAATTTTCAGCGTCATTACTCCAGTCTTCAGTGTCACATGATCCTTCAGAAATCACTCTAATATGATGATTTGCTGCTCAAGAAACATTAATATTGTTAATAATGTTACTGTCGTGCTGCTTAATATTTTTGTGGAAACTGTGTGACATTATTTTTCTGGATTCTTTGATGAATAGAAAGTTCAAAAGAACAGCATTTATTATAAATAAAACTTTTTTTGTAATATTTATTAATGGCATAAATATCTTTTCTGTCTTGTTATCAGTTTAATGTGTATTTGCTAAATAAAAGTATAAATTACTTGCACCAAACGTTTGAATCCCGTGTTTATTTAAAAAAAAAAAAAAAGCAGCTAAAACTGTTTTCAACATTGATAATAATAAATTATCTTAGAATGATGTGTGGCACTGAAGACTGGAGTAATGATGCTGAAAATTAATCTTTGATCACAGGAATAAATTACACCAGTTAATATTTCACAGTATTACTTTTTTCTTTACTGTATTTTGGATCAAATAAATGCAGCCTTGGTGAGATTATATATATATATATATATATATATATAAAGAGCATTCACAACATTAAATCTGTAATTAAAATGTTATATATGTAGCATGAAATAGTTTATTCAGTCTAGCACTAGCACAGCTGTGTACATATTTGCTATTTTATATTTAAAATTTAATATTAATGTTATTGTAATAATTATGTAGAGTGTAGATCATATATGGAAAGTCTTTTGAGAATTAATGTATCTGTCTTTAACTGCAGACGACATCATCTGCTCAAAACATTTCCAACAACATGAATATACCTTCGCGGAATTACACATGTTGGCTCAATGAACATTCACAGAAGAACAGGTTATTATTCAAGGCCCGTGAGACCAATAAGATGGATCCAGGAAACTCTACTCAGTGAGTGTTCAATACATCTGCTCATTGATCTTCTGATTCACAGTGTTCATCTAGAAAAGAGAGAAAAGTAGGGGAGAGCGGGGAGCTTTTTGACTTTCTCAGTTTGTGTAAATCTACTTAGGGTTTAGAGTATTTATTTTTCCCCACATTAATTTCCCACGTCTAGTACAATTATGTGGTTTTGTTTTATTAATACAGTGTATACTTTTTTTCTTGTTTTACCCCGAAAGAATGGAAGTGAAATGTGACAACATGCCCCATAGGTGTGGTTCATTGTAACATCACCATATGACAGCTTAAAATGCTATCTGATCTATCAAAGAAATATACAAGTCAAACCAAAATATTTTCTTAATAAAATACAATTATTAACTTTTTCATATAAAATAATGGCATTTTTCAATAATTAAAAATAAACTAATTTTGGAGTTTGACAACAAACACACACTGTAAAACACAGCTATACAGCATAGTTCAAAACAAAATAATAATTAATAATTTCTGAACATTGACTCTCAGTCTTTATTTACATGTTTTTCTCAATAGAATTCATAAAAGTATAGAATATAATAGCATATTTCTAATAGGGGCATATTGTAACGCAGTGTGACAACATGCCCCACCTGCACAACTAGGATTTAAACCCTGCTAGTGTCTTCTGCTAGTTAGCGAAGTATTAAATAACTATATCAACTGTTAAACAACAGATTGGAGATTAAAATAATATCAGATTTGTCTAATTTTAAAGGGGTGATGAACTGAGAAATCAAATTTTCCTTGAGCTTTTGACATCTAAGAGGTCATCATATTATAAGAATATCCTGTAAGTTTCAGAACTGAAAACGTCCTTGTTAGTCCAATAAAAGCTTTTATTGACACCAGGCTCAGCAAACGACTCGTTTTTCAAAGTGGGGAACTATGACGACAAAGAGGATAAAACACCACCCCCCGCAGAAGATCAACGCCTACTTCAACGCGGCTGGTTTAGCCCCGCCCACCGATTCGCGCATTACACGAAACTCATTATAATATGCAAAACTGTTATCCACTCACAGCAGTGGGCGTTTACTTCCAAGTCTTCAATGCGAGACGCCTAGCCTGGTTAAAACCAGAGCATTCTCAGTTGTAACTGAGTTATGGTCTGGCAAAGCGCCATAGACAAATCATTTCCAGAGGGGCGTCACCAATGGACGTCGCGGATAGACCTAAACCCAATCAGAGCGATGAAGGAGATGACGTATGCAGAGCGGCGGAGACACATCTCCGAGTGTTGTTCTTTGCTCGGTTTTTAACTAAAAGGAAACGTTCAAATGGCTTAAAACAGACGCGATAAATGATTCAAACGAGTGATGTTCGATGGCGGCATCCATCTTTGTAATGTAGGCTACAAAATCTGCTTCAAAATCCCAGCGCTGTCGTCATCGTGTAAAGCCCGCCCCAACGCTTCTGATTGGTGCCGCGATTTCGACGGATTGGTAATAGGCTTGAATGAGCTCTTTGCCAGACTAACTTTCAGAGCAAATCTAAATTTGCCGGAAGTTGTCTGGGTTTTCCCAGGCTACTGAGCGTTTTTGAGCTAGGCTCAAAACTAGGGTAGAAAATAGCCTATTACTTATTCATTTTGCTGTTTTTGAATGTAAAAACCAAGCCAACGTCATAAGTTGACCTCAGACAACAATATAAAAAAAATTAAAAAGCCAGTTCATGACCCCTTTAAATAAAAACAAAAAATAGAGATGAAAAATGTACTTTTGCTATGGTTAAATAAATGTTCAGTGATATCTTACAAAGATTGAAGTGTTAGTGTTTAAATGGCAACTAGTAAATACACCAAGTTTCGTCATGCTGGCATGTGTGGAAGTATTTTAAGTGTGTTACAACTAGCCCCGCGTTCGCCCCTACTTGTTAAATGAAAACTTGCACAAATTGCCAAATTAATTCCAGCTCTTAAAAAGAAATACAACTTGATTCCAGACTTCTCTCTTATCTTTTTTGCAGATTGTGTACTTATGTCTGTAAGTTTGTTTGCGGTGATAGAGAGTTTCCGGAGGCTTATGGAAATAATAAGAAGGAAGCCAAAGAAGCAGCAGCTTTCCGTGTTTATGAAGAGTTATGCAAAACACAAAATACAGAGGTGACACAACATCTGTCTACTTGGATTATCTGTAATTTATGATTTGTGTTTGACATTATATTTTGCATTTAAGGTCTTTGACAAGAACAGCAGTAAAGCACAGGGGTCAGAGGTTGCAGCTTGTAGGTAAATAATGAACAATGATTATAATGTCAAACTTTTATCAGTGCTTCTCGACTGGTCTTTCTTCAGGACACAGACTTTACATCAGACGTCATGTAGATCCAAATGACCCACCACAGAACTGCAATTACTCATCTTAAAAGAAGTTAAAAAATATTAAATTTATTTATGTTTAGTAAGCCAATAATTCCCCTCATGTTCAACACAAGCCACGTCTATCCTCACTGCAAGTGAATCCTTTTTCAATACAAGCCACAGTGTAGATAGCTTGTTAGGGTGGAACTTAATAGCATTTTTGAGGGCCTAAATCTGCTTGATAACTCTTGAAACTTTGCACGTGCAAAGGTCGTGCAAATTGACGTCAGATATGGGTTTCAGAATTCGGTGTAGCAAAATGGCTCGATTGCGCCACCTAAAATACAGGTGAAACTCTAAAAATTAGAATATCGTGCAAAAGTTCAGTAATTCAACTTAAAAGGTGAAACTAATATATTATATAGTCATTACATGCAAAGTGAGATATTTCAAACCTTTATTTGTTATAATTTTGATGATTATGGCTTACAGCTTATGAAAACCCCAAATTCAAAATAAGAATATTGTGAAAAGGTTTTCATAAGCTGCAAGCCATAATCATCAAAATTATAACAAATAAAGGCTTGAAATATCTCACTTTGCATCTACATGCCAATATTCAGGTATAGTCATGGCAGGAACTGTGGCAAAATATAAATGACTTTGACATAGTCCTCCTATATTTACCCATTAAAATACATATTGTCCACGTTTACTGTTTTCCTAAGGCCAGTGGAAAGGGAGTTTTGTGGAGTTCAGTGGAAGGCCAGTTTTGTCCTTGAACTCCCAGTTGGGAACCACTGATTTAATAAGCTCTTTTACTATATTTTCCACATGTTGATCTGTTTATTTTGATATCTTGTCCTTTATTTAAGTGCTAGCCTGAACAGTTTGAGTATTGCTGATGATTCCCGAAGCTCCACGCCTGACAACAACTACATTGCATATCTCAATAACTTCTGCCAGAAAAATAAACTTGTGCATGATTTCCAATTAGTGGAGAGAAGAGGCCCTCCTCACAACCCAGAGTAAGTCTTGCACAGCCCGTCACTGTTCATATGTGTACGAGTTGAAAGCGTAAAACTGACATTAGTTTCTTCAGGTTTGTGTATAAAGTTGTCATAGACGGGAAGGAATATCCTGAAGGACAAGGAAAGAGCTCGAAAGAGGCGAAGCAACATGCAGCTCAGCGCGCTTGGAGTGAACTTCAGGATCAGTCTGGCTGGACCACACAGGCAGGACCCTTCAGAAGTTCAGCTATGTGTGTACTAGTCTATGTTAGTGTTGACTAATGCACATGCATGTTTTTAATTAACAGAGTTCGGAAGATGACACCTCTTCACAAACCCAAGAGACGACGTAAGTTTAAATTAACTAAACATTACGTTGTGCATATAATATGTAATGATAGAAAGATGCAATGCAGTTGAATGTTCATGTGTTTTATAGTAAATCTGAGGATGCACGACTCTCGTCAAACAGCCCGTGTGAAACTCTCAGCTCCAGTGATAACATCGTCTTCAAAGACTCGTCTGCTGTCAGTTCTCCTATGGCCATAAGTCCTGTAAGTCCAGTCTGTGTTATTGGCAGCATTTGCACTTCAAGCAATAACGTATGAGAGGTTATGAGTTTCATAAAACATACTGGGCCCTATCTTGCACCCGGCGCAAATGACTTTGTACACTGACGCATGTATCATTCCTATTTTGCACCCGCGCAAAGCGGGCTTTTCCCTCCACAGACGCACGCCGGCAAACTAGGGAATGAACTCGCGCTCCCTGGGCGGGTCGGCGCAAAAAGGAGGCGTGTTTCGGCGCAAACATTCCCTCATGCTATTTTGCAGTTCCAGAAAACAATTCCGCCACTGACCAGAACAAACCTAGTCTAAAGTCAGTGGCGCGTTGCGCGTTGTTCATTATGCTATTTTAAGCGCGCATGCTTGGCCATAATGTAGCGGGTGCACAACGCGCATACACTTTGATTCTCTCATCAACACAGATGCAGCAGTTTTTATTTTTGCAAATCATACATTATAACAAGGAAAAATATTAACACATGAGGGAAATCATTGTGGTGTCCATGAAGATGTAAAAAAAAATGTAGGCCTAAATCTAGCTTACACATTTACACAAATTTTTCAGGCTAATTGTAGTAATGACGGATCAGACCTGTTTGCCCAATAGTGGCAAGACACATAAGGACATCTGACAAATTAGTTTGTCCGTCAAGAACCAGAAAAAAAAAAAAATCTCCCATCCCCATACAACGTCACTTCTCTGTCTTTCACGGCCCTGACAAGAGCGTCGGTCTCCTCGGCTGTGAACCGCTCCTGGCAGTAAATCCGCCATAATAATAGCAATCCGCCATGCAACATGCGCACCTGCTCTTAAAGGGTATGTTGGATGACGCTCTGATTGGTTTATTTCCCGTTACGCCCAAACCACACCTATGAATAATGAAGCTATTTCAGACCAACCCCTTTTAAACTTGCGTCGGGCGCAAGAGTCATTTATCCCGCCGGTAAAACAGCAACAGCGCCCAAGACCCGCCCACAAAGGTACTTGCGCTTCGCGCTTGATACTTGCGTTTCAGATTGTTAATATAGGGCCCACTGTATTTTAACATTTTATATTTGGACTTATGAAATACAACCTGTATTGCAGTGTGTGAGCCCACTGGATGTGAAGCCGAAAATAAAGTAAGCGTTTACAGTTGTTAAATGTCATATTTTAGATTTTACATTATTTTTTCTTCATCAGTAATATAAAATATACACGTTTTCTTTTAGATTAGCACCAACTTTTCTTCTGTCACCGAACGGCCAGGCCAAGGGCAAAGAGGTATTGGAACATTAATAAGTTTACAATAACAATTGAAAGTTTACTGTAACAATGAAAAAGAGTGTTTTAGGGAAGCAAAACATATGTGAGGTTCGGGTTGTGTATGCTGTGCTTCATTATATGATAGAGCTGCACGATTAATCATTAAAAATTTACAATCTCCATTCAAATACCCATGTGACCTTATTCCTAAATGACAGCTATTAAACCTTTGACAAGTACGATCACAGCAAACATTCAGATCTGCGATCTGAGCCAGACAGAGCGGTTGTCAAGTATAGTTATGAAACATCTTTGTATCATTATTTCTATCTTACAATCATTCAAATGATCACAGGGGATAAAAGTTTACAGTTCGGATATAAATACTGATGTCTACGGTATCAAAAATCATTAACTCGAGATTTGTTCAAAAACACAGATTCATCCAGTGATGAAACAAGTGAAGTCTTTATGAGTGAGTCATTGAATCATTCACTCGAGATTCGTTCAAAACCGCATATTCATCCAGTGATGAAACAAGTGAATCATTCATTGAATCATTAACTCGAGATTTGTTCAAAAACACAGATTCATCCAGTGATGAAACAAGTGAAGTCTTTATGAGTGAGTCATTGAATCATTCACTCGAGATTTGTTCAAAACCGCATGTTCATCCAGTGATGAAACAAGTAAATCATTCATTGAATCATTCACTCGAGATTTGTTCAAAAACACAGATTCATCCAGTGATGAAACAAGTGAAGTCTTTATGATTGAGTCATTGAATCATTCACTCGAGATTTGTTCAAAACCGCATGTTCATCCAGTGATGAAACAAGTGAATCATTCATTGAATCATTCACTCGAGATTTTTTCAAAAACACAGATTCATCCAGTGATGAAACAAGTGAAGTCTTTATGAGTGAGTCATTGAATCATTCACTCGAGATTTGTTCAAAACCGCATGTTCATCCAGTGATGAAACAAGTAAATCATTCATTGAATCATTCACTCGAGATTTGTTCAAAAACACAGATTCATCCAGTGATGAAACAAGTGAAGTCTTTATGAGTGAGTCATTGAATCATTCACTCGAGATTTGTTCAAAACCGCATGTTCATCCAGTGATGAAACAAGTGAATCATTCATTGAATCATTCACTCGAGATTTGTTCAAAAACACAGATTCATCCAGTGATGAAACAAGTGAAGTCTTTATGATTGAGTCATTGAATCATTCACTCGAGATTTGTTCAAAACCGCATGTTCATCCAGTGATGAAACAAGTGAATCATTCATTGAATCATTCACTCGAGATTTGTTCAAAAACACAGATTCATCCAGTGATGAAACAAGTAAAGTCTTTATGAGTGAGTCATTGAATCATTCACTCGAGATTTGTTCAAAACCGCATGTTCATCCAGTGATGAAACAAGTGAATCATTCATTGAATCATTCACTCGAGATTTGTTCAAAAACACAGATTCATCCAGTGATGAAACAAGTGAAGTCTTTATGAGTGAGTCATTGAATCATTCACTTAAGATTTGTTCAAAACCGCATGTTCATCCAGTGATGAAACAAGTGAATCATTCATTGAATCATTCAAGAGATTTGTTCAAAAACACAGATTCATCCATTGATGAAACAAATGAATCATTCATTGAATCATTCAAGAGATTTGTTCAAAAACACAGATTCATCTAGTGATGAAACAAGTGAAGTCTTTATGAGTGAGTCATTTAATCATTCACTCGAGATTTGTTCAAAACCGCACGTTCATCCAGTGATGAAACAAAATATTCATTTATTGAATCATTCAAGAGATTTGTTCAAAAACACAGATTCATCCAGTGATGAAACAAGGGAAGTCTTTATAAATGAGTCATTGGATAATTCACTCAAACCTATATATTTTTAAAATAATTTATTCATTAATTAAATATTTTTTAAATAGATTGCAGCAATCAACATTTGTCAGAACCTCTAGAAAATGACGTGATATTTTGTTTAGTTGTCTATATTTAAAATCGTGATCTCTACATAAAAAAAAAAAAAAAAACGGGATTCTCAGTTTATCCAGAATCGTGCAGCTCTATTATACGAGTATTCTCCATAAAGTAGTGGCTGTAAAATGTACGAGGCAAATCCAAAAAAAAGTCTGTAAAATGAGACCAATAAAAATGGAAATTCAAAGTTCTATTGAAAAAGTTTACTTGGTGTTTATGAATCCAGTTTCAATGCAGCTCCAAAGAAAGAAAAATGACTTTTAATTGTTATAAAATTATAAAATATATAATTTAATTGTTTTTCCTCTTCCAACTTCATAACTTATACAGAATGTTCCTACAATGAATGCACAAAATCTGGCAAAGTCGTCTGGAGATCAACCTTCAAACCAAGCTATAAAATCAAGGCAAATCATAACCTAATTGTTTTCATTTTTAACTATGCAGTTTATTACAAATGTTTTTGTCAATCAGTTTAGCTTTTGAAAATAGTTATGTTTATCTTTGTAGGTTTTTAGAAGACTTTGACTCAATATATCCGATTGGCAAAGGTGGCTTCGGACGAGTTTTCAAGGCAAGACGAAAGCTGGAGAACAAATATTATGCTGTGAAGATAGTGAAGAGTCGAGAGTAAGTAAATGAAAAGTAATTTGATTGGCTTTTAATTGCTTGTATGTCTATGATGTCCAAAAAAAGGTATTATAATATACCTTTTGTTTTTGTACTACATCTAACATAATGTCATGATATCTTCTGTTTCTCCACAGAAAAGCTCTTCGTGAGGTTGGAGCTTTGGCTGGTTTTAATAACGCCAACATCGTCCGCTACTACACAGCTTGGGAAGAGGACACGGCGTACAGATACGAGTCTTCAGAGACCATCTCAGAGTAATTCAGCAAAACACAACTCACTCTTAAACAAACAAGGCCCTGCCTGACTAGAATTGGGTATCGTTCGAACTTTAACGATTCTACTTATCAATTCCGATTATTATCGATTCCTATTTTCGATTCCAATATGGTAAAAAAAAAAAGAAAACGTAGATATCATTCACATTTATTGAAGTCTTATTGCAAAACATTTCATTGTAGCTGAATACCATGAACAAAAATCAACAGGTCACTTACACAAGGAACGTTTGTCTGTGGTTTAAAAATACCATAGTGAAAACAACTAGCCTAACTAATATACATTTCATGCATTATTAAAAACAAGTAAACACTCAGTAATTAAAAAAGAACAAATAAAAAATGATCAATCGCAGCAAATAAATACAACTGAACAAAGATACGTTTTAAATAGTGTTCAGGTACACAACCTAATCAAATGGAAAAATAACACTGCACTTTATAAATAAAATATACATTACAAATATAGTTACAAAAGTTATTCAGTCAAGAACAGCGAGTGAATTTTCTCTTTGTCTTTTGTTTGATTAGTGTTATCATAGAGACGGCAGCACAGAAAACAGTCTCGCGCTTGATTAATTTAAAATCACATTAAAATAACTTTCTGTGAGTGCTTTGGATGTGTGTGCAGCACAGAAAACAGCGTGTGAGTCGTCGTGCGCTTGAATGGTTTAAAATCATATTAAAATGCTCACAAAGGAATCGATATGAGGAATGAAAATTTGAATTTTATAACAAGTATCTGATTCCTACTTGAGGAAAAAAGTTTTTGCTCTGTTTTTCTGAATTAATGACTTAATTATCTCAAAATTCTGAGTAACTCATTAATTCATAAAAACAGAGTGAAAAAGATGTTTTTCATGAAAAAAATCTTGTAATTCTGAGATAATTAACTCATTAATTCAGAAAAACAGTAGATTTTTTTTCCTCAAGTGAATGCAATACGCTTCCGTAGATTCCTGACCTCAAGTATTCGAATCCAATTCTGGAATCGATATTTCGATTTGCAACCCTATCCCTGACTGAAAGTGTTTCATGCCTCCTCGACACAGATGCAACGCACTAATAGCAATTGTCACGCAGTCCCTATTTTTCTACTAACATTAAAGGGTTAGTTCACCCCAAAATGAAAATTCTGTCAGCAATTACTCGCCCTCATGTTGTTCAACCCCGTAAGACTTTCGTACAAGACGTACAACCCAGAAGCGCTGCGCTGTTACACTACGTGAACTCACTCGAGGCCCACAGAGAAGGAAATTAATAGTTGAATAAAGTCGTTATTTTTGTTTGTTTTTTGCGCACAAAAAGTATTCTCGTCGCTTGATAAACTTAAAGGGATAGTTTGGCCAAAAATGATATTTAACACATGCATTACTCACCCTCAAGCCGTTCGAGATGCATATGTCAATCTTGTTTCAGACGAACACATTTTCAGTTATTTTAGAAAATGTCTTAGACCCTTCAGTGGATATAATGTGAAGCAATGGGGTCCACCTCCTTCAAGTCCCAAAATGTGCATACATCCTTCACAGAAGTAATCCATCCGGCTCCAGGGGGATAAACGAAGGCCTTCTGAGGGTAATCCGTGCGGTTTTGTCGTAAAAATATACATATTTAAAACTTTATAAATGAAAATATCTGACTTCCGGCAACGATCGACGCGCGTTCACGGGTGAACTGAGTGGAGTTTTGTTTTGCTTTGGTTCCTACGCTACGTCATACCTCGTACGCCGACTTCCATCACCCGTGAACGCGCGTCGATCGTTGATCATTTTCATTTATAAAGTTTTATACGGCTTGAGGGTGAGTAATGCATGGGTTAAATATCATTTTTGGCCGAACTATCCCTTTAAGGTTGAGCCACTGTAGTCACTCGGACTATTTTAACGATGTCTTTAACCTTTCTGGGCCGGCAAGTTTCAATAACATAGAAGCCTATGGAGGAGTGATCCAGCTCTCAGATTTAATCACAAATATCTTAATTTGTGTTCTGAAGATGAACGAAAGTCTTACGGGGTTGAACAACATGAGGGAGAGTCATTACTGACAGAGTTTACATTTTGGGGTGAACTATCCCTTTAAGTTGTATATTTGTATTGGGACTCTTTAAAAAACCAAACATCAAACATTTGTCCTGCTAAAAATCCATGTATCTGTTGGCTTTAGTTCTGGCAGTGGCCCGGGGACAAAGTTCCTCTACATTCAGATGGAGCTCTGTGAGGGAGACACGCTGCGAGCCTGGATTGATAAAAGAAACTCTCCAAAGGAAAGTTTCCCAGAGAGGAGAGCGGATGCGGCACGGATCAGCGGACAGGTGCTGACGGCTGTGGACTACATTCACTCCAAGGGCTTGATCCACAGAGACCTGAAGGTGAGCACCTCGCTAAAATGAGCTTACATCAGGCTCGGACACAACTCAGAAGAGCTCATGAATTGTGAATTTAAATGCGGACATACTGTATAAGAGGTCATTGTACTGTAAAAATATCCTGTAAGTTTCAGAACACAAAACTTCCTATTTAGTCCAAAAACAACTTTTATTGAAATTGAAGTTTTGTCTCAGTATGAAGTCATAATGAAAGACCGCCTCTGCAGAAGAAGGCCGACGCCCACTTCTACATCATTGCCTCTTTAGCCCCGCCCACCAATTTACACATATCATGTAGTGAATTCGAGAGAGTCGAAAACACAGGATTACTCCAGCAATAAAACCATAGAGATGCTCTGAGGATTACAAAGCACTTGACAATTCTGCATTGCCATCCTTGTGTTCCTAACATTAAGAAAGCGTGGATGAACTTTGTTTTTAACGAAGTTCCAGATCATGTCAGTAAGACATGGTTCGTGTTTTCTTCATTTTGAAAAATTTTACGTTGAAAATTATTTTAATATGCTAAACTGTTACCCAATCACAGCAGTGGGTGTTTACTTCCAAGTCTTGAGTACATCATGTCTATCAAAATTGAGTGTTTGAAAGAGAGTGTCAAAAACAGCAGCAAAGTCTTCATGGAAAGAAGCTTTTAGTCTACTGATTGCAAAGGCCCAAAGGGAGCATCCTGAAGTGCTCGAAGCACCAGGGAAAGGTCCCAAGAGGGTACGGAGGGGGGTCGAGGAGGATTTAATCGTCTCGCCCCCCCTAAGAAACCTGATGACCAGGTCGTGCTTCCCAACTGTTTTGCCATCTATGTGGTCGTGATAAGCTGAAATAGTTGCAGCATGTACTTTGAGGGTGGAGGGAGACAGCCTTCGCTCCAACCCTTGCTGCAAGAAGGAAAGCACAGACCCTATCGAACATCTTCGGGGGTCTTCTTGGCGAGAAGAACACCACTCGACAAACAGGTTCCACTTCAGGGCGTAAACCTGTCTCGTGGACGGCATCCGTGCTGAAGTGATGGTGTTAAGTACCTCTGGGGGTAAGTCACCTGGAACCTCCGCGTCCCGTCCAGGGACCAGACATGGAGTTTCCAGAGATCTGGACGCGGGTGCCATAGGGTGCCCCGTCTCTGAGTCAGAAGATCCTTCCTCAGAGGAATGGGCCAGGGAGGGACTGTCACAAGGAGCATGAGTTCTGGGAACCAAGTCCGGGTGGACCAATAGGGGGCCACCAGAAGGACCTGCTCCTCGTCCTCCCTGACTGTGCACAGTGTCTGCGCAAGTAGGCTCACTGGGGGAAACGCATATTTGCGGAGGCCCCGGGGCCAGCTGTGTGCCAGTGCGTCCGTGCCGAGTGTTCCCTCGGTCAGGGAGTAAAACAGCTGGCAGTGGGAGGTCTCTGAGGAGGCAAACAGGTCTACCTGAGCCTCCCCGAACTCTCTCCAGATCAGCCGAACCGCCTGGGGGTGGAGTCGCCATTCTCCCGGAAGCACAGCTCGTGATAGCTCGTCGGCTCAAAATACATGGCTCAAAGCGACCTCAGATGCTTCTGACTCCAGAGGAGGAGATGACGGGCGAGTTGCGACATGCGATGGGAGCGTAGACCACCTTGTCGGTTGATGTACGCAACGGTCGCAGTGTTGTCCGCACGGACCAGCACGTCCCTGCCCTGTAGCGGCCTTTTCAAGCAGCTCAGAGCGAGATGTACTGCAACTCGAGGCAATTGTTGTGCCAATGCAGTTGGGGGTCCGTCCACACCCCTGACACTGCATGCCCGTATCTCGGGACTCGGCCGTGAAGCCAGTGCTGAAGCTGTCTCATATGAAGCAGGCCGAGCGGGGTTACCACTGATCGCTACCACTGCGATCTCCGCACGCAAGACATGGGCATCGGCTGCTCTCACTGTAGTGGAGTGGATGGCCCAAAACTTGGGGGGACGGCGGGCGAACTGAATCGCATAGCCGAGCCTGCTGGTCCGAATGCGCCAGCGAGACAGACTGGGGAGCACTAACCAGGCTCGCAGAGACCGTACAAGCGGGACAAAAGGGACCGTAGGCGTACCCGGGGTGGGGCAGCGAGGTGGAACGCAGGGACGCGGCTCGGGAGGCTCTCTCTGGTAGGCAGCCCGTAGCGGGGTCTGAGTGTGCTGTGCAAGACTTACCTGGTTCCACGGGGCAGGAGGTGCAGGAGGCGGCTCGGTGGTGTTCTTGGACCGCACACTGCTGCCCGCTGGCGATAGAAGAGGTGGATGAGAGTGGTGAGGATTCTCTCCTCCCACTGCTCTCCGGGCCCTCTTCGGACCCAGAGATGAAGGAAACTGCTCTTTTATTTAAAATTTGGGTACCGCTGGTTTTTGAGGCCAGCGGCGGAACACAAACAGAAGATTTTTTCACCCGGCCCTTTTTTTGGGGGAGGAGTGGTGCGGTCACCGTCTCCTGGAGAGCAGTCCCATCCATCTCCGGGTCTGCGACTGGCTCCACGGCGCCGTTTAGGTGGAGGCTGCTGCTGCGGTGCGGGAGCAGGGGCAGACACAGGAGGACGGCAGATGTATTTGATAGCCTCTGTCTGCTTTTGTACAGCCGAGAACTGCTGGGCGAAGTTCTCGACCACGTCGCCGAAGAGGCCGGTCTGGGACACAGGGGAGTTAAGGAACTGGAGCTTGTCGGTCTCCCTCATGTCGACCAGACACAGCCAGAGATGGCATTCCTGGACCACTAAGGTGGACATCGCACAACCCACTGGCCGCGCGGTGACCTTCGTCGCACGAAGTGTGAGGTCCATTGCGGCACGAAGTTCTTTGAGAACTTGTGGATCATGACCACCCTTGTGCAGGTCCTTCAGTGCCTTGGGCTGATGGACCTGCAGCAACGCCATGGCGTGCATGGCAGAGGCAGCTTCCCCACAGGCCTTGTAAAGGGGGTTGCACACCGAACGAGAAGCGCAGCGCAATGTCTTTAAAATTCGAACACATTATTCTCTATGAGTGTACGCACACCGGCGGCGCCATTCAGCGTCTGTCCGCGGCGCCCAGCTACGGCTCAGGACCTTGTTCAAAACCCTGCCGCGCCACAGAGCGCCATTTACATAGTTGTGTATTAAATTTACATTTATTTGTCTCAAATCGTCGTTAATGTACATACTGACTTCACCCTGTGCTGCAATATACATTTAGTTTTACATTAATTTACAGAAATCAGCTGCTTGAATGAAAATTGCTGATGTTATCGGATTTTCAGGTGATATTCTCAATTCATTCAGTTAGCGTATGTCCTGAGGTAAAGTGTTCAGACTGCAAACTTAGCAACGATTGTATTTAATCATAGAGTACAATCACAACATAGTACAGACATTATCTTAATTCCATAATGTCCTTAAACATAACAATATTGCTGACCATAAACTGAGAAAGTGCGCATCCGGTGTGCGATACCTCGAGTTGTCCTAGACGCGGCGCTGCGCTTCTCGTCCGGTGTGCGACCCCCTTAAGCCTCGTCGAATAGGTCCGACGAGTACCTAGAGGCCCGGGAAGGAAGACACGGTTCTCCGTGCCGAGTGGAGTTAGGGCACAGCTGCTCCACTGTCGGGACACGCGTGTATCCCTTAGCTGCCATCAAGGGTGGTGAGGGAGGAGGAGCCACTGAGATGGTTTCTGGCAGTAAAAGGTGCTGTCCACGCCCCCGTGAGCTCCTCATGCACCTCCGGGAAGAAAGGTACTGGGGTCGGTTTCTGAGAACCAGCACGCACCACCCCGAGATACCAATCGTCCAGCCTTGAGGGCTCGGGACACGGTGGAGGGTTCCACTCGAGCCCGATCATGTTGGTGGCCCGGGAAAGCATGGCCATCATCTCTGGGTCCAACTCGGTGAGGGTTCCTAGAAAGTTGGTTCCCCGAAGGAAGCGTACTCACGGCAATCCTCGGGTCTCCCGTGTCACTGCCCGAAGCAACCCTCTGAGGAGGATTGGATCGAGGCAGAGGCACGGGGACTCCGCCCCTTTGCAGGAACGAGAGTCTCGACCGCAGCTCCGAGATGGTCATCTTCCCACAATGGGTACATGACTCATCCACGAACGCTGCCTCAGCGTGTTCGAGGCCCAGACACACGAGGCAGCGATCGTGACCATCCCGTGACCGCAGGTAACGACCACATCCAGAAACGCACAGATAGAACGTCATGTTTTTTTTAAATTTATTTTTATTTTTATAAAAGACGCGAATTGTGTAAGCTCTTTTAGGGACTGCTCTCCTTGGTGCTGAAGCATGCAGGAGAACGGTCACCGCGAACACAGACAGGAATGTGCACCTGTCTGTGCGCTGTTCTCTCTCGCTGGTCTTACCAGCCGCACCAAAGTGGAGAGATCCAGAAGAGGCTTGCAGATTCACTCTGTGTAGTTAGCATACGAAGTGCTTGGCTCCGAAGCAAAAAGCTAGTGTGCTATCGCAACAGCTGCTCGTTAAATACCCGCGCTGCGAGGCTGCACAGCTGATGCAAATGATTGCACACCAATGTGCATTGGCTTGTTTTAGTTTCACTCGAAGTAGATTGGCCTCTCTAGCGAGATTCCTATTGGTCAGTCATGACCTACGTATAGTGACTGACCGATAGGGAACCCTGGTTTGCACACAGTTTTGATCGCTCTGCTTCTTTGTTTCAGCCTCCAAACATAATGTTCAGCAAGGATGGAGGAGTGAAGGTTGGAGACTTCGGCCTCGTGACTGCAGCAGAAAATGACAATGATGAGCTCATGCTGGAACGGACTAAAAGAACAGGAACCCGTAGTTACATGAGCCCGGAGCAAGTGAGTCATTTAAATCAACATGAAACGCGGTTCACAACCCATAATCCAAATAAAAGCTATTGGAGTGTTTAGTAATGAATCATGCACAGGAATATGCATGTCTATTTTGATTTCATCTTGATTATAATAATCCATATAATGCTTTTTGTGTATCTGTTGCTAAAGTTTTTATTGTTGTAAACTAAAAATGTAGGAGACTGAAAGATCCTATGACAAAAAGGTGGATATATACGCTCTGGGCCTCATATATTTTGAGCTCATCTATAATCTCATCACAGTGCAGGAAAAGAAAAAGGTTTGATTCATCTTTTAGACCATTATATAATAATAATACTACAATCTATGCATTAATCTTGAACTATATCTGATATGTTATAAGGAATTAAGTATTTCTTTTTTTTTTTGGTGACTTTAGATTTGGGAGGATATAAGAAATAGGGTTTTTCCACCGAAGTTCTCCAAGGAATTTAGCTTTGAGGTAAGTGTAATTTCACGATCAAAATGTTGAAATTGAGCATGCTTTTTCTTTAGTGCTGAACATATGCTGACATTATCAATGCCTGCTATGATCACTTACTCAAAGATGAGCATTATCTAACATGCTGTCTCGTTTTTCACGGGTGATGCTGATGAAATAGCACAAGCTCATAGAGCGAATGTTGAGCGCCAGTCCTGAAGACAGACCAGACGCCACAGAGCTGATCAGAGAACTGGATCAATATATCAGTCCTGAAGACAGATAAAGACATCAAGACCTTCTGATGACATCTATTCTCCTTTCTATGACTTTATAATAATAGCAGTTGCTTATACTGTAACATTTACAGACTGATACAGATGGCAAGTGTGCAATTCAGTCTATAAAGCAACTACATTTTTAAAAAATGAAACTTTTGTCATCATTTACTCATCCTAATGCTGTTTTTTTTTAGCAGAATGTCGGTTTGTTTCCATACAACAAAGTGTGTTCCACAAAAGAAAGAAAAACTTGTGTTAAAAAATGACAAAATGTGCAATTTACAGTCTAAAAACTCATTTCTGATCAATTAATTCTGTATGAAATATCTTGTAACAGTGGTTGACTGCCGATTCTGTCCGTTTCTTATTTGCATGAATTACATTTGGAACAGAAGTTGGATCTGTCAGCTTTTGTTATTGTGTCTGTATTGCATAATATTCTCGAGCTAAAATCATGGAGCTTTTAATCTCGTCTACAGGTTATGGATATGGAATTATGTCATGTGGGAAAAAGTGGCACATTTGGGGCAATATTTATTATCCTCTTTTACTGTTTGTGAATCTGATTTGATATTGTTGGCATGTTTCTGTGAAAATAAAAATCTTAAGCAGTGCATAAATACTTAAAGGCACACTATGCAAGAATTGTACCTTAATATAACAGCTTCAAAGTCATTTCGGTGGTAAACAAACTCACAGTAGGGCGAATCATCCTGGTAGTAAAGCTTGGGGGGCGGACGCCGCTGTAAAAACCAGCAATGCAAGTTTGAGAGGAGCGTCCCCGACAAATCTCGCGAGAATAACAACATGCTTTACGGCAACGACGTCACACACATCAACAACAATATATGAAGCACGAAGACACTTGCGTGCATTTCAGACGTGATACTCGACGATGGAAAAAGCAAAGAAAACACGGTCGGAAGAGACTAGGAAAAGGAAAAGAGAATCTGACCGCGCGAGGAACTGGAAAAGAGTCCCTGATTCGCCCTCGCTATGTGTGTGCGTGTTGTGTGAGTGAGCGCGGCTGATCAGCGCGGCTGATGAGCTGATCAGCGCCAGCTGTTTGGAATGAGGATGTCCTATATATTGTTTTTTTTTACCTCGTCCTGTCTATGTCAGATGCTAGTTGAGGCTACCAGGGTTCTACTCACCGTGTTCTCCTGCATTCCACTCCTGTACCCATGCAGTGGTTTCCTGAGATTTTCCCGGAGGAATTTCTACCTGTTCCTGCATATGTGTCTGCCCACTGCGTCCCTGTTTTTCCGAGCCTGAGTCTTCTTCTGCCTGCTTCCATTTTGACCCACACGGCTATCTACTATTGTGCTCAATAAATTACTGTTTACTCGCAACTGAATCCTTTGACTATTTCCTTCAGAGTTGTGACAGTCCCACTCGGTCGGGCTTTCACTAGTTGGCGCGAGCTAAAAAGCAGCACTGGATGCAACAGCGATGCTGACCTGGCTATCTTGTTGATAGACTAGTAAATAAATCTCTTATTTCTAAACTTGTTTGCGTTCTATGTTGTTGCGCTTGCTTGTAGTATGTCATTTTTTTTACGATGCTGTTCATTCATCCATTGTTGATAATTAGACCAGTCCAGTAATTTCCACATATGTCTAGCTAGCTATTTACGACAGTGCAAGTATTCCACAGCGACTATAGGGGTCGCTGTTTGACAAAAACACAATTTCTGCATGGTGTGGCTTTAAATTGCCTGGCTCTCATTGTAAATAATAATCCTATTGACTGTGTAAAGGTCAAAATAAATGCCTGTGTCTCCTATGTCTCAAAAAAACACTCATATGTGTCAAGATAAAATGTAAAAATTAGGTTGACAGTTGATTAAAAATAGCCTATGATCAGATTATTCCAGAACGTGTCAGCTGAAGTTTTAACATACCTATAGATTTAAAAAGTTTTGTTTTTAAGTAAAAGGTCAAAGTGTTAAAATAAAAGTCTTCATATTCGGTATCAAAAGGGAGTGACGTCATGTGGTAAAGCGTGAAATCATTCGTCATGTAGCCTATACGTCAGAACAGCGAACTTATGGATTCCCTTTACCTTTATGTATAAGCTCTTAAATAATGAATAAATATTTAGGGGAATCATTTTTTGTAAGATATTAGACTATGTTTTCAAATCTCCCACAAACCTTTCTCCAATAAACCTTTTTTTATTTATTTTTATGCTATAGTATATTTTTCTATTTTTTTCTGAATAGTGTGTTGTGTATATTTTACTTATTGACTCGAATCTCGAAACTTAGAGAGAGGCGGGTTAGCTGAGGAAAGCGAGAAGGAATCGAAACCGAAACTTCTAGAAGGCTGGTTTAAATCCCACACGGAGCTCTTGTGCGTTTTGGTCTCTGACCGACCAGAGAAGAAGCACAACAAGAATCTGACAGCATCTAAGCTGTATCCTATTAAAACATTTTGGACAGAATCAAAATGTCTGCCGACTTTGAAATGGAGAAGAAGATCGTTGACTTCTTGAGACAAAATGGCAAAAGCACAGTTTTAATCATTTTTAAAAAATTCGGACTAAACAGATCCACCGCGAACCGACATTTGTACAACCTAGAGAGATCACAACAGGTGTTTAAGTCTAACAAAACGCCTCCTGTTTGGGATCTAATGGAGAAGAAGATCGAGATCAAACACACACTCAAACCAGAGCAAAAGTCCCAGACGACAAGAGACTCAAGAGACACGGGAGAGACGACAAGAGAGACGAGGGAGACGACAAGAGACTCAAGAGAGACGAGGGAGACGTCAAGAGACTCAAGAGAGACGAGGGAGACGTCAAGAGACTCAAGAGAGACGAGGGAGACGTCAAGAGACTCAAGAGACACGAGAGAGACGTCAAGAGACTCAAGAGACACGAGGGAGACGTCAAGAGACTCAAGAGACTCATGCGGAGAGATTCAAGAGGAACGTGTGAGGGATCTGCTGAAATCAGGAGGTTTAAAAGCCCATCAAATCGCCAAATCACTGAAACAGCCACCAAAAAACACAAAGAAACAGCTGTACATTATGGAGAAGGAGGGAAAAGTACAAAAATGTATCAAAACCAACATTTGGACACTGAATGACGAGGAGAGCAATGACAGTTACAACCTAGAGAGGTTTGTGTTGTGTTTATTTTATTAAAACTCGTACAATCGTTATTTATAATGACTCTTTGCATTTTGGTGTGCCAATGTTTTAGATTTTAATTTAATTTTAATTTCTGATTTGTTATTGATTAGTTCCTGTTCCAGTGATCATAGACTGGGCTCAAATTCAGGGTAAGCAATTTTGTGTCCACCAAAGTAACTTGTTTAACAGTATAATATTCAGGGGAAAAACATACAAACAAAATGTTTTAAATGAATGTTCTGTTTATAGGATAATGCATAATGATTTGCTGCTGTATATTGCTGTTTGACATGTTTCTATCATCTATAGGTTGTCTAAAAGTTTTGATGTGATCATAGAGCTTGGCAAAGGAGGCTTTGGGTGCGTTTATAAAGTAAAGCATAAATTTGATGGCAAGATCTACGCCGTAAAGGAAGTCGTCTTAACTGGGTAAGATTATACAAGTAACAGCAAAGTTATATCTAATTTTAGAAAGGACAGTTGTCATGATTATGTGGTATAAAAAAAAATCACAGAATTGACATGTATTTATGCATACATTCATTCATTTGTTTATGCATTTATTTATTTATTCATTCATGCATGCATTAATTTATTCATGCTTTTTATTTATTCATTCATACATGCATACATTCATTTATTCATGCATTTATTTATTTTATTCATGCATTAATCCGTTAATTAATTTATTCATGCATTTATTTATTCATACATTCATTCTTACATTAATTTATTCATGCATTTATTTATTTATACATGCATTAATTCATACATGCATTAAATGTATTAATGCATTCATTAATTTATTAATGCATTTATTTATTTATTCATACATGAATTCATACATTAATTTATTCATGCATTTATTTATTATTTATTCATACATTCATTCATACATTCATTTACTCATGCATTTATATATTTACTCATGCATTAATTCATACATTTATAAATGCATGTATTAATCATGCTTTTATTTATTCATGCATGGGTGCATTCATTCACTCATGTATCATGTATTTATTTATTTTATTCATGCATTTATTTGAAACAGGAAAGCTGATTCTGAGGTGAAGGCATTGGCCAGACTAGATCACCCAAACATAGTGCGCTACATTACATGTTGGTCAGATTCTGAGAACTGCACATCAAACCAAGAAAGAAACAAAGCGTCCAAGTAAGCAAGTCTCCATCGTTTTTTCATAAAACCCTGAGTGCTTCTCAATAATGACGTTTATGTGTTTTATGTTCAGCACATCACGTTCTTCATCAGATGTAGTGACCTTTGACAGATCCGGATGTGAAGAGAATGATGATGATGATGATGATGATGACGATGATGATGTCATTGATGATGTCACATCAGGAATGGCAAGTCTGGGAGTGACAGCAGAGTAAGTCCAGCAGTCTTCTTATGAGATGTCACATCTAAAAGAATATAATTTAGTGTGATGGTCCTTTAAGAGTGAACTATTATTACAGAGTTAGCTCAACTGGTAGAGATAGAATATGCACATACTGATAAAATGTGTAGCTTGAGTTTACTTCAAGTTCATTTCACATTCACACAGCAGTAAAGCAGCTAAAAACATCCTGTTGGGGAAAATGAGCATACGGTAAAATCATTAACACTAGCCGCGTTTCCATTACCCTTCAAATTGCGCAAATTGAAATTGCGAATTAAAAATACGCTCAATGGAAACACGTCAATTTCGCAAAAACTCCCATTTATCGCAAAAAAGTTTTTACGCTCGCATGAGGTGGTTTTTCAGGCAATTCGAAAAAGGAATATTTCGCAAAACTGCAATGGAAACAGTTTTTGCGCAATTACAGTCACTTGACTTAGAAGGCGCGTGTGTTTGGGGTCCGTGTAGGCTATTGCCTCCATTCGTTTTTCCTTTAACTCGTATGAAAAACGAAAAACATGCTTTCTTCTTTATTAGTTTTTAGACTGGTGAAAAAATATTCACATACAAACTTATTTTCCTTATATAGCCTATTGCTTATTTAATTGAAAATCAAATAGGCCTAATTGACATAGGCCTACAACTTTGCGAAATTTGATTTCTGCATTTCATTTTGACCCGGAACATTTAGATAATATGGAGCGTCTGTGAAAAAAATAAAATAGCCTAAATGAAAAAAAATCTGTGGCGACGGTTTTGCAATCCGTCCCCTCAAGTTTATAAACCGTAGGCCTACTCATGGTTGAGTACAAACTGTTCCCTCGATCGGAAAAAGCTCAGTAGGCTATAATAGAATAGCAAAAAAAAAAGACTTCTCATACAAAAAAAGAAATATAACACAAACTCATTTTCCAAAACTGTAAAAGGTTATATAAAAATAATACATTCATCAATTATTTTATGATAAACATATTACTGTCTTAAGTGCAGTCATTTATAGTTATAAACGCAAATAATAATAATAATTATTATTATTAGCCTATTACATTTATTAGGCTACATATTTAGAAGGCGCTTTTATCCAAAAAAGGAACAAAGCAATTCGTCAAATGTCATTCATAATACAGGTTAGACAATAATAATACAGGGCTAAGATTATCACAAATAAACACAAGATTTTGACGTATAGCCTATCCAAGTGTGTGTGCGAGTGTGGAGCGCGCACTGCATGACGGAGGCGCGGACGCGAACACTTGCATTTTCCTGTCAACAGTGGAAAGAACTTAAAATACTCTATCATTTATGGTCATACAGAAAATAATAATACATAATCCGCAACTACTTTTATTTGTGTAAACTCACAATAACAAGAAAACGTTCTTCTTTTGCAAAATAAAAGAAAACAATCAGGCGCGCTTTCATGATCTCCGTGAACTGGAACATGTCTCAGAAATGAACTGAAACAAAATATAGCCTATGTAGGCTAAAGCTTGAAATGTCCACTTTTAAACGAACAAATTCAAATCGAAAGCAAATACCTTCTGATTATGTAATGCATATGAAAGGTGCATTTCTCTCTAAAGGCGCATCCGTTTTACAGTGGAGATGAAAATATGTTTGCAGTCGGCACTAACACTAGTTTATTAATAAACAATTAAAATGCCTCGTTATTTTTTCAGACACATTTATTATCATTAGCCTATAATCACCTATAAATCACCTCTCTGTCGGCTATGGTTCCAGAGACATGGCTCTTCTTATTTAGCACTGCGGGAAAAATATCATCGGGTTCTAATTTGGCCTTAGAAAACCAGTAAAATCAACATTTTTTTCATATTAATTTGTGAATATTTTATATGTTTAATAAAGGGGCAAAAAGTCATAAACAAAAATCTGAAAATTCGTCTATATTTATTTTTTTGCGTAGCATTTGATGTGTACTACAGTTCAAATTGAAAATTTGTTGTTCAACTTTGCGCTTTAAAAATACAACAACCGTTCATTTTTCGTTTTTCAATTAGGCTACGGGTTAAAAAAGGAAAAATAAATGGACGCAAAAGTACACGGACCGTTTGGACAGAATACGAGACAAAGTTCTTTATTAAATTCATAAAAGGAAAAAGAATTCCAGGAATACTGGATTCTAAACCTCAAAGAAATGCCACAATCAAGACCTTGGAGCAGAAATGAGGGAGAAACACACAGAAACACCTCATGTGCCGTTCACAGTATTAGGGTCTTTCCGTACCATTAATGCTTGGATAACACACCACGTCTCCTTCCATTAATAATAATAATGTCTAGTGCGGTGGCTGCACGTCTATTCACATGTGCTATAAACCTACAAACGTCCAAAGTCGCATAACATCGGTTAATGGAAACGCCGTCATTTCGCAATAGTTTTTTATCGATATTTAGAAAAAATCGCAAAAGTTTTGCGCAAATCTGTAATGGAAACGCGGCTACTGACTAACATGCGCAAACTTCAGGAGAAAAATCAAATGTTAAAAAATATTATGAAATGACCCCTTTAAGATAATGCCACACATTATTCTTTCTCTCTCTGTTTCAGCACCAGGACGTACTTGTTTATTCAGATGGAGTTCTGTGAGGGAGGAACACTGACTGCATGGATAAATGACAGAAATTATAAGGAAATTAAGAGAACCACAATGGATATCCATCAAATATTTTATGAAATTATCAGTGGAGTGGAATACATCCATTCAAACAATCTCATCCACAGAGACTTGAAGGTATGTCCTTTTTTAGTTGATAGGACGCAACTAAACTTGTGTGATTTAACAGATAAGTATTTTACCCATATGTACTTTC